AGGAGAGAACCAATGAATGCTCACCAATTGACGGTTATGTAAATTCATAGTATGTACTGTACTGTACGTACGTACGTGCGTACGTACGCACGTACAGTACATCTACCAGATTGTGATTCCTCCTAAATAGCACAAATACAATGTTCCCCAATCATTAAGGTCATGCTGACCACTCATATGCAATGCTTGCTTCTTTCATTTATTCCACGTAACATAGGCCATATAATTCGTTTCGAGAAAATTAAACTAGATATAGATCGTGAGTATCTAAGTTAACCAATTAATAAGTAAGTACTCAGGCAGCATAACTAAAGTTGGCTACTATATCATATGACTATCATCAAATATAATTGGTTGATATTTTTTTAGCATTTGGGATCTTTACTAGAAAAATCACCCTCCGAGATTTTCTGATCGGGCAAATTCGAACAAATTTAGACTAGAATATCGATTCTTTATTATTTATTGCGGTTTGCATAAAGGTGTGATCGTGTCACGTAAAGTCACGGGAAATCTGGCTTCTAATAAGATTACGGATTACGGATATATATATTATTAGATCATCATCACAAAAAACATTTTGCAAATCTCCAATAATAAACTATAGAATAAATAAGTAAAAGATGATTTACATGTAAATAGGAACCGATATTCTGGTCTCGAAGGGTGTTATTCCTAGCAAAGGTTCCATTTATCAATAATAGAGAAATAATCTTTAATTCTATGCATAGTATATATAGTTTTTAAAAACAAAACTTGGTCGTAGCTCTAATTTGGATTAAAATCGTTAATAGATTCTGCTTTGCTAATTTATAAAAAATAAAAAAAAATTGAACGCTTTATATAAATATATATATTCTATCATTACAAATTGTTGCAGTTAATACAAAATGTATTATGTGGTATATAATAAAATCCATAATAAAAACTTAATTCTTATAAAAGTCACGAAAATTTTAAAACCGAACGATTATTTAACGTGTTACCATATGAGTGCGTGAGTGAAAACCAGGAAATAAAATTTAACAAATCAAAATTTACTTCCTGATTTTCACTCATATGGTATATATTAGGTTTTCTATATACAAAAATCTTGTGCAACATAGATGCAAAGCATACAGTATTAATAAACGGAGTTCAGGAGTTAACAATCAAATATGACAATGATCGGAGATTTTTTTTATACGTGGGTTAATCAGTAGTTAATCACAAATGATAATGTTCGGATAAATAGTTATTTCTTTTGTGATTGGGTATAACGAAGGTCGGTTGTTTACGTAATGATTTACGTCAATTATGCTTTCCCAGTAAAAATTCAACACGCCCGTTAACAAATTTATGAGCTAAACGAACTATTCTTTTAAAGGAGGAAATTTAACCACATGGGACTAAAGATTTTCTCGTATTACTAAAGTATATCACAAAAAATCTCTCCACAAGTAAGCATAAATTTTAATAATGATTATGTAATTTAGCATAAACCCATAATTTTGTAAATCCGAAATTATTTGCATTTGTTTTTAATTACTTGTTTGATTAAATTACAATAATCCGATTCAATTTCTGTATTTGTCTTATTAAACAACAAAATTGTATTCACAATGATTTGGGTCACATTTTATCCGGAACGAAAGCATTGGCGCATAGGCCATAAATCGTACATGCATACAGTTAAAGAATTGAACTAATCTAGTACATAGTAATTTTGCCCATTTACTCTTAATGGATTCTTTATTTATAATTATTGTCGATACAATTACATGTATTATATAATAGTAAGTCGTACTAGCAGTTGAAAATTACAAGTTCGTTACCTGCAGATTGTTAACGATCAACTTGTCGATATTCAAACTAATAAATTTAAATAAAATTAGTAAGTACTTTTTTTTACAATATTATCCAACTTCCGATAATTTATATACATATGTTGAGGTAACTTGTTAAAGTAAAGAAACGCAAATCAATCATTATTATATAATTTACGTACTACAATTACAGAATTACGCAAGGTAAAATACTTTTATCATTGGCGGTATTTTGTTTTATATTTTAAATGTCTTTTAATATTTGAATAAAAATTTTCCTTTAAAAATATCATAAAGTATCCCATTCGTAATTCTTTAATTTCTCGATATTTTTTATTGCGTATCACTCCTTCCAATGGGAAATGAACTTTCGACACTATTGAAGATTAAAAAGAATAGAATAATAAATGAAAAAGACTCTAGCCTTAATAATCATGAACATAACAAAAGCATAAATTCAAATACTGGATTTCCTGTAGTTGATTATGATTTAGAAAAAGAAAAGCATCACGTTAGTCGCTATTTTTTTATTTAATATTAAAAGTCATTCAAGCCATGTCTAATTATATATTTATATTTCTTAATTATTAGCACGAATTTCTCTTTAAAATCTGGAACTCAAATTTTTCTTCTCCAATCGAATCTATTTTAAAACGTGGTAATGTCAAAGTTCTCGATGTTGGGTAAGATTTGCATTTATTATCATTTTTTTATTTATATAATATCTGTAAATATCTTATAAATTTTTCAAAAAAAAAAAAAAAATAGATGTGGATATGGCACATGGATTTTTGATATGGTACTGTAATACTTTATTATCCAAATCATTAATTATCAAGTTCTGTCGATTTCATTTCTTTTTAACATGTTAATTGCTTAATTTAAAGGCAAATAATTACACTCTTTCACATTTTACTGGAATTGATATTATAGCCCCAAAAAATATTATTCCTTCAAATGTCAGTTGGGTACAAGCTGATGTTTTGGAGAGATTACAATACTCAAATGGTCATTTTGACTATATTC